ATACTTATTTGTATCTAAATATATAATTTGAATTTGTTTAACTTTTTTGTGATATTTTTGTCTTCCATTGATTCATGTGTATGTTCTTTGGAAAGTGGTGCATTAAATATCTCCTAATTTTATGGGAGAACTTTAGTATTTAATGTATTTTAATTCATGAGTATTTGTTAATATATATATTTACAAATACGTGTAAAGTGTGACATTGAAAGTATAAAGTGTAACATTTTTGAAAGTGTAGAGTGTAACATTGAAAGTGTAAAGTGTAAAATATTATCATATATCTCACATTTTTTTAATGAAAAGAGTGTAAAGTGTTATAGGATAATATTGAAAGTAATAATAACAGTGTAGTAATAATAATGTAACAAACTATTTACAGAAGGTAAAAGGGAGACATTACCTAAAGTGTTATACAAACAGAATATACATGTCTCATCTTATACTAAAAATATTAATTAATTAAGAAAGTGTGAAAGTGTTACACTTTCAATGTTAATATATAACATATATATATATATATATATATATATATATATATATATATATATATATATATATATATGTATATAAATACACACACACACACATATATATATATATAGAATCAATATGCATTAAATATTAAAGTTCTCTCATAAAATTAAGAGATATTTAATGCACCATTTTTCTTAAAATGAACATTTATGTTTTTGTATATGTGATCAAGCTTGGAGAAAGAGAATTAATTGGTTAAGAAAAAAAAGGCAAAAATACATAATAAATGTTACTTAAATAATACCTTATATATTAAAAAATTGATAAAAAACGATAAATAAAACTAATAATTCGAAATGCTTCAGAATAATAATTTTATTTTTTTGTAAGTAAAATAATAATTGTTATCTTTTTCTTAAGATAATTTTATTGCTCTGTATTAAGTTGGTTATTAAGCAGACTTTGTTTGGGAGGCCACATAAGTTCTATAATAAATGATTCATGTATGACATTTCAAAATAGTGTACATGACAACAAGGGTTCCTCAATATTGCCCATATAAACAAAACAAATAAATTTATTCCTCAAGTTTTCCATTAGTTCTTCTGACTATTTTTATGGGAAAAAATAAAATAAATTACCAAATCGAGAATGAGGTACAATTATTTTTATTGAATAACTATACCACGTAATTATGTTACATAGGGTAAATATTTATGGTATCCCTTGATCTTTGATACTACTTAAGATCTTTGATAATTACTCTTTTGTTTAATTCTTCATCAAAACAAATCTGCTACACTTGTTTTGTTTTGCATTTCAAACTTTTTTTTTTTCCAGGTTTTAGCTTTTTGTTTTAACAGGAGACCAAACGTTAACAAGTTGATTCCTACGATAGTGTTAAATTATTATCATCACAAAGTATAATTATTAATATCGTACGATACGCGATACGTATCGTATGATATGTCACGATACAACTGAAAATCGATATGTATCGTGTCTTTGTATCATTTTTGTATCGTATTATGCGATATAAGATACCATACAATACGTCCGATACATATCTTGCACGACGATTTTTATTTTTTTATTTTTGGTTTTTTGGAGTTGAAGTGATATCATTTTATCCTATAATTTATTTTTAAATCACTAACTAGTGATATAACATCGTTTTAGTGGTTACAATTTAAAAATAAATAAATAAAGTCTGTTGTTAATGTTGTTTAATTGAATTCAAAATTCTTGATTAATATTAAGATTGTTTAAGTAGATGATATTAGAAGTTTGAATTAAAAGTCTTTCCATTTTGATATTACTGAATTATGTTGGGAGCTTAAATAGTTGGTGGAATATTAATAAAATGTTATGTTATTATAAATCTATGATTTTTTTACAAAGGTATATATATATATATATATAATATTTAAAAATTAAAATTACATGTAATTTACGATAAACGATATGACTCGATATACTATTTTTAAAAAATAATACATTTTTCGATATACGATTTGATAACTATGTCACCAAGTACATTATTATCATTATCGTGGCCGTGAGTACAGCGTAATAAGATAGGTGTATTATATTGAATTACGTTATATTATTTTTTTTATTTTTTTATTTTTAATAAATATTATTTATGTTAATTATTCACGATGCAAAAAAAATATTTTTTTTCTCCATTTAGTTGATTGATGCATGCCCTTTTTCTAAAGGCTTGTCTTTTCTACTTTCTTAATGGGCACCCATCCACTTTCTGTGCATTTTTTATCTCTTGTTCCACGCGCCGACAACACATGATGGAACCCAACATCTTGATGCCCTTTTTCAAACATGCTTTTTTTATATCTTGTTCTATGTGCCGACAACACATTGAACCCAACAACTTGAAAAGAGTTATACTATAAAATTTAAATAAAATTTAAAAAATTATAATTTAAATTTAAATTATTTTTTAAATTAATGAGTCTTATTAATTTTTTCAGTCATATATAAATTTTAAATTTCTATCATTTCCGTTTTCCAAAAGCTTTTATTGGCGACGACACGTGGAACCCAACAACTTTTCCAAATCCACTTTATGTACTAGAATTTTATTCAATGTGAAATGTTATGAGATTCAAAGTGAAATGACGGGTGCATGTGACAATCTGCTTTTTACGGTGAAATGACAGGTTTCGAAATCAAATGCAAGTGTAAAATCAAATGAAATTCAAATACGTGTGGAATTTTAAAATTTGGAATCTGGAATGATTTTTTTTTTTTGGAACTTAACGATTATCCTCCTAAGATTTCTTTCTTTTAGTTTAAAAAAGATAATTCTGTGTTTGAGATTGATTTATATTTTGTACATTTTATTCAAAAAAGAGTTTCTAAAGAAAATTTGATTATTATTTAATATCCTTGTGCCTTTTGTGTAAAATGGCATCATTTTCAACACATAAATTGAGTTAAGGAAATGTTTTTTAAACTTAAAATGTTGAGTTTATTGATCACAATTATTAAATAGTTAATAAATCTTGATAAATGCTTAGTCTCGTAGTTAAATCAATGATACTGATTGCTTTAATTAACAAATAAAGTCACAATTTCAAGTTCACAAAACATTGCTCGTCGAGTTTAATTCTGATCTTTCTTTTTTGCTTACTTTGTTATGAATAAAAAAATATTTAAGAGTGTCGATCGAACTATGACGTATTCGTACCATGTTATTTGGGTGGTGACATTTCATATTTGGGTCGTGACATTTCATATTTGGGTCATATTTGTGTTGATAAAAAAATTATTTAATTTTAAAACAATTCGTATAATACTAAATCCAGAAATAGAAAAATATGAATATTTTTTCTGACAGTATAGACAAATGACTTATTTCAGTCTAATGTTAACCCAAGTCATTGATCATTCATTTTAAACAATCGTATCATTTTTCAGTTGTATCGTATTCACACCGAATTATATTTATTGATGTGTAAAATTGATGGATTGACATGGGATGCTCATTATTATGTGTGACAATCGTGTCAGATGTGACAGGTTTATGTCAAAAACTCTTTAATCTATACCCTATTTGCTTATATAAATGAGTCTAATTATCACACTCATTTACGACTTGCTTATTAGATGGACTATTCAACATAAATTATGTGTCACCCACTAAATAAGAGAATCGATAATAATATTTTGGAGTCTACACAAAAAATCATCCAGGGGTGAACTGAGGATTTTTTTCTACTTTGTTGCACAGGACAAGCGGTGTTGGAGTGTCGGTTAAACCGTGTTGAATCCAAATGTACAACAAATTCAACTTGAAGTGAAATTTTTAACTTTGGAATCTCAGTTGTTTGGGAACTTTATTGTTGATAATGAGTATCAAAACTTGGCCATTTCTCACATACTTGATTTTTTAGATTGAAGTGTTTATAAGTCTAGATACTTCACCGTTTTGAATCTAGATATTAGTATTGCGGAAATTATGGATCAAAATGTTAATCACTTATCTTTTTGAAACTTCTTGATAAACAAAAGTCTCATATACCAAATATGATCATGTCCTTAATAGACTGTTCTTACGAGGTTTTTGATCAAAATTCGACCCTCACCAATATTATATATAGTGGCTTTTCACCCATAACCCATTTTTCTAGAGAAGGTTAGCATAACCAGATTGATTGATTGATTAACGAGTTTGTTACGTTTCCAACTAAAAGATATATATATATATATACACCAATTAAAATTTTTTTATCATATTTTATATTTTTCACTTAAAAATTCATACACAAAATGACTTAGAAATCAATTGACAGTATTTAGTTCAAAACAGTTCATACATTTTCTTCTAATACTAATTTAAATCATTTATCATTTGGATTAAGTGATTGTAACATTTTTCGAATTCGTAAAATATTTAATTCGTATTAAATTTAATTGGTAAAACTGAGTTTATTGATGAGCAATTGAACACTTGTCTTAATATTGAAGGACAATAGGGGGCCTCTTTATCAAAGACTCTATTGCTCTCCAATGTCATGATATGGAAATGGACAATTGAGACTCCAAATCAATGCCTTCAATTATTTTTCCAAATGCATCCATCCACTTGGTGTCCTTTTTTATCTTATTCAATGTGCTGACAATACATGTATTTCATGATTTTTGTACTATTATTGTCATTTGAAATATAAGTGAAATTCAAATGAAATGTCCGAAAATCTGTTTTTCAAGGTGAGATGAGGGACAATGGGGGGGGCTCGTGATCAAAGAATTCGTTGCTCTCCCAGCTGTCTTGATATGTGCATTGGACAATTGAGACTCCAAGTCGACGCCTTCAATTCTTTTCCACTTGAATAAAATCAATGCATGTATGTATGTATGTATGCTGAAAATATTAGCTTTCTTCTTGTATCCAAGTCAAATAGACATTTTCGGTTTTCCTTAATTTGCAGTTAAGCAAAAATAATAAGCAGAAACAACCATCAACAAGGTGAAAAGGTGCTAGGAAGGAAAGCTGGAAGATGGAAACAATCAAGGCCTCTGCTGTAGACTTGTTGATAGGCAAGATAGTGTCGGCCATTGAGAATGAAGCATCATTGATTGGAGGGCTTAGTGATGAGCTTGACGAAATCAAGCAGGAGTTTATAAGCATGAGATCTTTTCTACAAGATGTTGATAAAAAGGGGGTCCTCAATCAAGGAGAGAACGCATGGGTGGGTAACATAAGAGATCTGGCTAATGAGGTTGAAGATGCCATAGATGAGTTCATGTATCACACGAACAAGCAGAATAATGGGGGCAAATTCACAAGGCTTCTTTACCAGACAATTCGCCTTCCAAAGAATCTATGGGTAAGACATCGAACCGCCACAAAGTTGCAAAAGATCAATAGAAAGATCAAATCCATTGACGAACGAAGAAGACGTTTTGCAATCGAACGAATAGAAGGAACAAGCTCTGTTGATGATCAAAAAGCAATGTTTAATTACGCAGTGTCGTCTTTCTTTATCAAGGAGGACAAATTGGTGGGGCTTGAGGATGATAATGAACTTCTAGTCAAATGGCTAACGGAGGAAGAACAAAAATGCACTGTTATTTCAGTGGTGGGAATGGGTGGTTCGGGCAAGACCACTCTAGTCTCCAAGGCTTACAACAGTCGGATAGTAAAACGCCATTTTAACTGTCATGCGTGGATCACAGTCTCCCAAAAATATGTTGTTGATGATTTACTGAGAAGAATGATTGAGGAATTCTACGGCGCTGCCAAGGAAACAGTTCCTACAAATTTAAACACGATGGGGTTCAGAGAGTTGGTCAGTACATTGCTGAGCTATTTAGGGGCGAAAAGATACTTAATTATCTTGGATGATGTGTGGAGCAGTAAGCTCTGGGAGGAAATCAATGTATCTCTCCCAGATGAAGGATGTGGAAGTCGGGTAATTCTTACAACGCGAAATGAAAATATAGCTTCATCATCTTTCGGAGTCAAAAGCCATGTTCACCATGTAAAACCACTGGGAGAGAAAGAGGCCTGGGAGCTCTTTAGCTTGAAAGCATTCTCCAACAATCTGGTTAGGCTTTGTCCTCAAGAGCTTCAAATCTTGGCTAGAAAGCTCGTCGACAAATGTGAAGGACTGCCTCTTGCTCTTGTGGCTTTGGGTAGTGCCATGTCATCGAAGAAACTAGTATCAGAGTGGCAAAAGGTTAATAATAGCCTGGATTTCGAGTTGAGGAACAACCCCTCGCTGCAAAAGATGAAGCTTATCTTGTTAATTAGCTTCAATGAATTGCCATACAATCTGAAGCATTGTTTCTTATATTGTTGTCTATTTCCTGAAGATTTTGTGTTAAAAAGAAAGAGGCTTATTAGACTTTGGATGGCAGAAGGGTTTGTCGAAAAAGTGAAGGGAATAACACCAGAAGAAGTGGCAGACAGCTATCTCATGGAACTCATTCACCGAAACATGCTTCAAGTTGTGAAGAGGAACCCCTCAGGAAGGCCAAAAAGATGCAAGCTGCATGATCTTTTACGGGAAATTTCTCTTTCAATAGTGGCGGCCGAGAATTTTGGTGCTCTGTATGATGATGAAGAAGCAAGTAAAGAAAGTGGAGCACGTCGCTTGTCGATCCAAACAATAACAGAGCAAATAAAATCATTAAATGGCATGTCAAAGCTCCGCTCGCTTCTTGTGTTCATTGACTATAGGATTTCTCCATCTTTGGTAACATTGCCATCTGGATTTAGATTGTTAAGGGTGTTGGATCTACAAGATGCACAGGTTGAGAAATTGCCAGATGAACTAGTGGATCTGTTCAATTTAAGGTACTTGAACCTAAGGAGGACGAGGGTGAAGGAGCTTCCAAAATCAATTGGAAGGCTCTCCAATCTACAAACACTAGACGTTGCCCATACAAGAATAGAAGTGCTTCCAACAGGAATAACAAATTTGAAGAACTTGCGTTATCTAGTGATGTTCCGTTCCTCCCCTCATGGAACTGAAGGTTTTGAATATTATTTTGGAATACGAACCCCGCCAAATATTTACAAGTTAAAGAACTTGCAAGTCCTGAGTTGTGTTGAAGCAGGATCAGATTTAATGAGACGCATCAGGAGCATGACACAGCTTACAAGGTTTAGCATTACAAAGGTAAGAGAAGCAGATGAGAAAGACTTGTGCACCGCAATCCAAAATATGAATCTCCTTCGTTTGTTAAGTGTGATGGTGAAAGATGAGGCAGAAACCTTGCGAATGGATGTGCTCACTGCAGCTCCTCCACACCTTAAATCTCTGCTATTAGCGGGGAAATTAGAGAGGGTGCCACACTGGTTTCAATCACTTCGAAGCCTCGTGTTTTTGCGGTTGTATTGGTCTAGACTGACACAAGATGTTTTTCCTTTCATCCAAGCGCTGCCTTGTTTAGGAATTCTTGTACTTAACAATGCATATTCTGGAAAAGAGTTACTGTTTGATGCTGGGTTCCAAAAGCTGAAGTTTTTATCTTTAGCCAATCTCCCGCAACTGAAAGAGATAACAATAGAGAGGGGAGTGATGCCAGATCTCGAACAACTTATTGTAGAAGGATGTATGGAGTTGAAGACATTGCCTCATGGCATTGAATATCTCACGAATCTCCAAACATTGGACTTGGCTACCGTTTCAAGTGAGCTCATCCATCAGATACATGGTGAACAGAGTGTGGGTCGTTCAAAAGTTCGACATATCCCTAATATCCATCATTATTACAAATCAGCGTCTGAGACATGGCAATTCAAAAACTTGTCTTGAATCTATTGCAAGACGGTAAGACACTATATTACCCACCCCTTCTTAATTCGAAAATAATTATGAACATCTACTTTGATTTTATCCCATTACATTATGCTAAAAATATTCTCTATTGTGGGTCACATTTTTAAAATTTCTTGTTCTTCAATTCCAAGCACATGCATCTCCAACCAAAAACTGATTCATACTTTTAGTCGGAAAGTAAAGAGAATGAGATTCATATCACCTACCATGAACATTTTTCTTGATTTTCATTGATAGTGGATTTTTAGTGAGACTCACCATATATAAATGGGTGTCCCATACATTATGAATGATCGGACATGGAGAGCAAGAGCATTGACGGAGATTCAGTCGAAAGAGACTACAAGTTTGTAAATTTGCTCATCGGTGGTAGCAATATTATTTTTCCTATATTAGCACTGCTTCCTTCTAATATTTTATTTTTTTTATAAAAAAATAAATGGGTCTTCCTAATCTGTTGGTTAGTATATGAAATTACCAATGTGTTCCCCATTTGTTTGTGTTCATCTTTGCGATTATATTTTCTTATATTCAACGTTTGACAATTTTGTTAGGAATAAGGTGCAAAGATGAAGATTTCTTCAGGCAACCTTGGCTTATGGATGAAATAAAATTTGTAGCAGGAGCAATGGTATGCATGTTGTTATTGCTCTTGTAATGCAGTGATGCTTGTGGTGGAATACTATGGCCATCTTTATTGTAATCTATCTTTATATCTCAGCTTGGAGTGCATTGGAGTTGTATTGGTCTCAAGATTTAGGCACAATCTTGAGATTAATAAACTTGTCAATTATAGTGGATTGATTTGAAGTTTGCCCCATGGTTGTTTCTTTGTAAAATGGAGAATTTTTCAATATAAATCTTGGTGTGCTTGTGATTGTTTTTCTCTGTTTTATTTATTAAATTAGTAGTTGAGTTGTTTGTTGAGGGATGAATGTGAACTAAGGATTTTAGTCGAATTTCTGCAAGGCATTCAAACATTCATTAGGCTCATTTGAATAGTGCTACTCTTGTGAGTAGCATTCAATGCAAGTTTGGTACTATGTTTCGAATGGTGATGCAGATACCATACGTTACTTCTGTTTGTTGGATACAAATGGTTCCTTTGTTAATGAAGCTTCCATTTGTAACTAAGTAGCAAGTACCTTTTTAATAGTATTAGTGCATGCGTGGATTGTAATCTTTTTGCAGCTAAAACACTTGCTTATGACTTTTATCAAATCTGTATCCCCTCCAATCCTTTGAATTCCTTGAGTCTGCGCAAAGAGTCCTTGCTCAAATGGTAGTTTGAGCGGTTCAAATGCGAAGAAACATTGACTGATCATGGTATCGTGTCCAACCTTATTGATTTGCCATAAGTTTTCCTTTTCAATTTTTGATAAATTAATGAAGCTGGGATTCTAAGACCAAAGAGACGCTAAGGAAGAGAGATTCATCATATTGGATTCAACAAGAAGAAGAATAAAGATTAGCATTGTCATCTGATGGAAAGTTTATGGCTTTGAACCGAAAGCTATAGATCTGGAATAAAGCACTTTGTCCTTGGCCATTGTAGAAAGTATAAAATATAATCCTAATCGTTCTTTTCGAATCACTCCAGTATGTGAATGCAGCTCGGTTACCTACAACAACCACCATCTGGGGTCCATTTTGGTTCCCTTCCCTGCCCGAGATTGTGGATCAAACATTGGTAACTTGCTTCTCTCCTAGACCAATGGCAAATTATGTAGTGGTCAGCCTTCTTACCAGAATGCCTCCTTGGTAGATGTTGAAATTTTGAAAATAGAACAGAGCAACAAGAAAAGGTAATGGGGTCCCATGGCTGGAATGATTTACATAAACCTGCTTCCTATATCTAATTACTATAGATAATTTGTGCCTGAAGGCATGATGCAATGTGAATGATTTTGAGAGTGATGTTGGTGGCCGTTGGATGAGTCTATTTGACATCGTCGGATAAACTTATTGAAACATGCTCTGTTTTATATTAGAAATTAAATTATAAATATAGATTGTTGTACAAGAAGTAACTAATTACATAATATGCAGACTATATGCCTCAAAATAAGCAAGTTTATTATCTTGGTTTATGCATAGTTCAAGTCAAACTCATTTTGGGGCGGCCAAAAGAGTTTTGAGATACATCCAAGTAACCTTAATTATGGGATTTTGTTTGAAAAAAATGTGGATGCAAAGTTAATTGGATGATATGAATATGAATAACACTTCCGGTTATGCATTTTCTCTTGGCTCGAGTGTCTTTTCATGGATATCTAAAAAACAACAAACGATAATACAATCATCCGCCGAAGCCAAATATGTTTTAGCATCATTGGCAACATCACAAGCAATATAGCTAAGGAGAATCTTGGAAGATGTTGGTGAGAAGCAAGGAGAGCCTACTCCAATTTTGTATGATAACAAATCCGCGATAGCAATGACAAAGAATCCCGTCCACTATAGTCGAACCAAGCACATTGCAATCAAGCACCACTTTATCCAAGAGGTCGTGGAAGATGATGAGATTCAACTCAAGTATTACAAGACAAAGAATCAAGTGGCATACATCTTCACCAAAGCACTTCTGCAGGACAAGTTTCAATACTTTCGGGAAATGTTGGGTGTCATACAACAAAACATTAAGGAAGAGTGTTAAAGTTAATACTTTGTTGTGTTATTTTGTATTTGGGCTAAAAAATGTTATGTTTGAAATTGGGTCATAAAATGTTAGTGTGTGTTTGAGTCATGTTTTGTTATATTTAATTAGGCCCAAAGATAGAAAATTCTAGAATTATTTGAATGTGTCTAGATAAAACTTGTAAAAGTCATTTTTAGAATATATGGAGTGTCTATATTTAAGTGTGTCTAAATAAAGTTTGTTAGAGACTTTTCTAAAATATGTAGAGTATCTATATAAAGCTTGTAAGAGACTTTTCTAAGTGAGATAGAATGAAAAATATATAGTTCCAGAACTTTTCATGTATTCCTGTTTGTCACTTATTTGTTTCTTTAATTAGTCAAGGTTCAAGTCTAATCTAAGGCCAACAAAAATCTTATTGACAATTCCAACCGTAAGAGTAAACAAACCTGGAGAAGACCCGGCCCAATGCATGGAGCTTACTGTAGCTAAATAATGATCCATATTCCCGAAATAGTTATTTGGTATAGCAATCAGTAGTAACCCATGCAGGACCATGGAGCTTATGGTTCCAGGGATTTACCTTTAGCATATCCATCGTCAAAGAGCTTACTCAAGTAGCTTTGATCAAGAAAAAGTAGCTTTGAGCCATCAACAACAGCTTCACAATAGGATTCAAAATCTAACCTCACCATCCGAGAAACAGCATCAATAAGCTGCAGTAACTCCACAAAGAAAGGTTGAGATTTAAGCCTTGAGCCATTTGAATGGTAAATTCAAGTGATGGAACTTCCAAACCTTAGCTAAAAACATACAAATAAATTAAATACATACTTGAGAAAGATACGTTCATATTTTCTTAGGAGTCATGTTATTTGGACCTAAAAATCTGACTTAATTTATTGATATAATGATGTGGTTTAACAGGAATCATTAGATCAACACCAAGTTCTAATGTTTGATGGGATGTACAACCAATCCAAAAATCACATTAAATTAAATCAACAAATTAAATCAAATTTTTAGGTCACAATAGCATTACTCTTTTCTTAGAGTCGCAACAAGCCAAGAGTTCAAGTGTGACATGAAAACATCCACCACTTCTAGACTTTCAAACAAAGAGAGGCAATATCATATCCACCACTTCAGACTTCTTGACGAAAACATCCCGCTCGCAAGAGTGTAACATGAAGTTGCTTACTAGGAACTAGCTGCTTTTCTTTTTCCCTTTGTAATTGAATGGAAATCTAAGGTAGCGTTTGATAACCTTATTTTTTTGTTTTTTTTTATTTTTGCTTTCATTTTATGGCAAAAAAATAAAAAATAAAAAGACATTTGATAAATATTTTCATTTTTTTTAATTGTTCTGCTTTGAAAACAAGGCTAAAATATGAAAACATCTAAAAGGATTTTTTCATCTAAGACATACCAAACTGTGTAGTATATTAGTAATGTAACAGTTGTAACAACACAACTCTAATATTCATCCCTGTCGAGTCGGGTAATCAACAAAAACCCATCAATAGAAAGTGGCGAATAGTTGGAGTAAATTATATATTTAGCTCTCAAACTATGACTATTGTGTCAATTAAATACTTTAACTTTTTTTATTATATCAATTGAGTCCCGAACTCTCTAATTATGTCAATTTAGACATTTTTTTTTGTGCCCTATAGTCACATGAGTGATATACTCTAATGGAAGCAGACATAATAGTTCAATTGATACAATTAGAGAGTTATGGAGCTTAATTGACAAAAAATAAAAATAAAAGATTTTATTGACACAAATGTCATATTTTGAGGGTTATATGTGTAATTTACTCTATTTTTTATTAGTTAAAATAAAATATGTCTATATATATATATATATATATATATAGTTTATTTTGCTTTATTATTTTTGTGATTATAAAAAAATTTAGTGCGATACAAATAAATTTTGTACTGTAGTTCTATCGATGTATTACCTGTGAAAATGCAATAATCAAATTAAGAAATGAGGGACTTGAGGAACCTCTCTCATTTTTTCTAATGTTTTTAAATTTTAGTTTCTTTGTTTTTATTCATTCAACTAATACTCAACATGTATTTCATATAACAACTATTTCACTATCTTATTAACTAACAACAACTTATTTTAATTTTTTAAATAAAATTAGTTTTAATATATAACAATTTTCCATAATATTTTGAATTCAAGCAACCAATAAATTTTTATAAATATTTAATTTTTAAATAATAAGTCTCGGTATACTTTCTGTGTAGGCAGACCCAGCAGTTTTCAATCAATGTAGTCGGCGGAACAATGGAAAGAGGAATGGGAGAAATTTTAGAGGAAAATCTGAGCTCAAATCCATAGCTTTCTCTACGCACCCACCATTTGTTAGCAGCGATCTTACCACACATCATTACCACCAGCCATTTCACTCAAATCGGTAGTAAACAGTATCATTCGCAATTAGAGGATAAATTTTAGAGCCAAAAAATATATGAATGAGAAAATATATAAATCTTATTCATCGCATGAGTCTTACACCTATTTTCATTTTATGAATAACTTGGATAACAAAGTAATGCACTTTAAATTTGTTGCTAATTTTTATCTTCATTATGCATAATTAATCATAATTTATTTTCCCTTTTTTTTTTAGCAATTCTAAGTCAAACCGAAACCATTCATTATGAATAATTGAACCAAGAACCGACCCTATATATCCCATCTTTTTCTTTTTCTTTTCTACTGTCTTCTAGGGCTAACATGATCTACTGATGGAGACGGAGATATTGAAGTCAAGTTGTGGTGTCATTACAGAAGAAGAAGATACACAATAGGATTTTTCTTTTGCTCAAGGTAGGATTTGATGGTGAAATTTCCTCGCTGCCCCTTCTGGTATTTTCCATATTAAAGGTCAATTTTTGAAGGATACTGTGGTTCTGGAGATACATCCTTGTATCCTTGTTCTGGATTGTCTTCAAGAAAGTTCAGAAAGTTGATCATGACCGTAGACCCGACTTACTTTTTTCTTTGGTATCAGCAGAGAGATTCAAATCTTATCAATTTAACCCATGAAATAAATAATCTTGTTTTTTTAGTGTAATAAAGTCAAACTTCAACGGTTTGTGTAAAGTAGCCGGCTGTGGCATTACTGTGATTTCAGAGTAGACAAAAAAAAATAGTCGCTGGAGATCTGGGTTAGCATCAAATAGTCTCCTTATTCAATAAAAAGTAGAGACATGATACAGAAAAATAGAGAGATTTGCTCAAATACATTTTCTCTTCAATTTTTTTATTGGTTGATCACCTGCAACACATTTAAGTGGGACCTATGGTATATACGTGAACTCTTCGCTCGTTAATGGTAGAATAATCCATTAAAAAAGTAATTGAAGGAAAAAAGTATTCGAAAAATTATTTTTGCACCATATTTAGACCCCACTTTGAGGTCTCCAAACAAAAACAAAGCCCCT